ATCCCAGTACAGGATCATGGTCTGAGTTGAAGGCAGACGCCCAACTCAGGCACCCCTGTTTTTGCTTTTTAAGAAGGAAATCTAGCTAAGATGGGTTTTACCCTTGATACATCTCTCTCACTCACTTCCGCCTTCAGTATTTTTCTTTGAAAAATTAGTTCAAGTTGCTTTATCAACTTTTCATTACCACATTGTTAATTTTTATAATGTTAGTGTCACAGGTAAATCCTCTGTAGCTACTTAATGTTTTTGATATTGATGGACAGGGCTGACCTCAGTACTGCAGGTGTGGGGGGTCTTGCTACTTGAAGTTTTTCACTGCTCGAACTCCAGTTCCGGAGTATCATTGCTGCCTTTGACCCTCAGTTACATTTGTAGCATTCATGGCGCGCTTACTGTTACTTCCTGCAGCTTTCCTTACCAGGTGGCTAATGTCCGGTCTTCAGTATTACCATTTCTTTTAGTACCTTTTTTTCTTCTCTGAGGCAGATAGAAATAAGGAGTTAGGAGAGCTTAGGAGAGAATGGGGCACATGCTGTGATCATTCCCCCCCTTTACATTTTATTGTTTATTTATTGAATCTGTATTAGATTTTATTCCTGCTGTGTGCACATGCTCCTCTAACCTGTTTATCTTAATCTGGTGCTTACCACTTACCTCGAGGGGGCTCAAAGATTCATTTCTCTCTCTCTCTCTCTCTTTTTTTTTTTTTTTCCTAAAACTTCATTTCTCTCTTGTTCCTTTCTTATTCTCTGCTGCTTATATTTTCATTCTGTGCCAAGGGAAAACGTTACATACAGTTTTGATGTAGAGATATTTACATCTATCCAGGAAAAATTAACCCGCCAGTTGGGAAGTAAAAAGAGATCATAAAGAACCACCACTGTGTGCTTCTGCCTAGTGCCTTTGTATGTGGATGTCCTCTTCAGAATCCTCTAAAATGTGCCTTCTTATTCTTACGTCTTTTTTAATCTTAAGAGCATAGTTAACTGTTACAGTAATTTGTTCTCTTTTCATGGCTGTCTTCGCTACCAGGTCTGTCTCCCCACACTGTTTCCGCGGGAGAATGTTTTGAATTCCACTCAGCTGCCTGTAACTTGAGAAGAGCCTGAACAGTTCTGGCTAATTTGTTTTTTGTTTTGTCTGAAACATTTTAATTTGTTGCCATATGGGATATCTGTAGCTATTTGTCTTTCAACAGAGAGCTGTTGCTGAGCTTAACCTTTATTCTTGGTATTGAGGGGTCCCCCTTACTCCCTGTGTCAGTGACTTGCTTTGTGTTGCTCTTCATGCTCGCATTCAACAGATGAGTATGTGAGTCGGGATTATTCCCAGATTTTACAGGTGATAGGCTTTTTTTTTTTTAAGATTTTATTTATTTATTTGACAAACAGAGATCACACGTAGGCAGAGAGGCAGGCAGAGAGAGAGGAGGAAGCAGGCTCTCTGTGGAGCAGAGAGCCCGATGCGGGGCTTGATCCCAGGACCCTGGGATCATGACCTGAGCCGAAGGCAGAGGCTTTAACCCACAGAGCCACCCAGTGCCGTGGTGAAGACTTTTTAAAGGCGACAAAAGTTTACATTTTAGTGAAATTGCAGTTTAGCTCTTGAGTTTGATTCCAGCAAACCCCCCTTGTCTTTTCATGATGTCATAGTAAATCATCTGAAAGATCCAGACCTTTGAGTTTTATTTCGATAGGCGGGTTGGAGCCCCTGTATTTGTTGGAGTGAAAAATGACATGTCAAAAAGAAGCAAAAATGTTCTACAAAGTTTTTAATATCCTTTCAGCCCTTCTTGCATCTTCTCTGTATTTTAAGGAAGATTATAGAGTTGGCAAAAAGTACAGCTAAGGGGTTGGTAAAGAAAAGGAGAGCTGGAGTTGGAAAAGGAACTGGGAGAATGGTGGGTAGTAGTTGTAAATAGGAGGAAGGAGTATGTAATGAAAGAGTCTCATACAATTTTTTAAAAAGTTTATTAAGAAAAAATTTTGGTTGTTTATTTATTTATTTATGTAAGTAATCTCTACACCCAGTATGGGTCTCGAACTCACAACCCCAAGACCAAGAATTGCATGCTTCTCTGCCTGAGCTAGCCAGGTGCCCCTTGTACAAGTTTTTTTTTTTTTTTTTTTAAATAATAGAGCTTATAGTGTAGAAAGTGGGGACAGAAAAGAACACAGGAGTAGAGGGCAGCGTGTAAAATAGTGTAGTAAATTATGAAAAGTGCATCAGGATAAAGAAGGGAAAACTTTATGTAATTGGGAGAGTTTGAATGGTTTCATCAGAGGTGATAGTTGAACTTAATCTTGAAGGATGAGTAGGAGTATTCTAGATAGAAAAGAGGTAAAAGGGAGATTTAAAAAGGAATGACTTAAAACAGGAAATAATTCAGTGATCATCCTTTGATGATCAAAGAATCTCTTTTAGCATAGGTCATTAGGGAGGCTGCTGCTGGTGGTAGTGGTCATGCTGAGGAAGAACCATGACTGATGCTATGTTTAGAATGAAGCTCAGGTGTGGAGGGATTCAGTGCATTAAATTGTAGGATCCAGTGTTAACCTTTAAAACAACTAAGGAATTACCCAGCTAGTTAGTATGCTGTCAAGAGAGAGTAATTTGATTTAGATGGAAGCGGCTTGCTTAACTCCCTCTGCACAGCGTGTATTTGTGAACTTGAACTTGGTTGCTTCTGTAGAGGTTGAGAAGTCTCTTGGCAACAAGCTTCCAGTTGCAACTAACACCTGCTTTGGCTAATTGGCATGCCATAGTTCTGGTAGCGGGGCCTCTGGGGGGTTTGTGTTTGAATTCAGCTTCATCAGGTTTAAGCTGGAACATAAATGTGAAAGGCTTTTGGGTCAATCTGTTGATTGAGAATGAAAAGGCAAGACATACAAAGGGAGAACAGAGAATGAAACTTGTGGATAAAATAGCTGTTAATTTACATTTGGAGGCTTTTTAGCTTAATTTATATATTAAAAATAGGACGTTTTACTCTGTTGTTCTCTGCTAGCCCCTTTTCGAATTTGTTGGCCTTATAAACTAAGGAAGGCAGGATCCAAGGGTATACCATTTCTGGCATGTGTCTGCACCAAGGTAGTTTATTATAGACACTGCTCATCGGCTTTTTCTCTTTAAAAACAGCTGCAGGCTGGTAGGTTTCCTATCAGCTGTGTTCCCATGACACTTTATGCGGTGCCTTCATTTTAACACTTACCAATTATGTTGTTATAACTGTTTATGTTTTCCTCTTCGGCTAACCTGAGAGTCATAACAGTGTATGGTGTGATTCATTTCTCCTGCCTGGACCTAAAATGGTTCTGGGCATGCAAATGTTTGAGCTGAAATAGAATTAAACTGAAAAGTGGGTTGCATTAGGTGGTTTATATTTGATCCCACAAAATGAACATAACAGGTTATCAGCAACAAAACGAGAGGATATTGCCAGTTAGTTTTTATTTGAAACTTTCTCTCTTTCCTGTCCTTGTCTTCTTTCAGCTCTTATCCTCTTTGCTAGGGTTGAATTGAAACATAAAAGTAATCACTGGAAGAGGCATCTGGTTGATGAGGAAGCTTTCATAGCAGTTCCATGTTTATCCCACCCTGGCTACCCCCCATGGTCTCTTAAACACACACAGATTTTACTTCCCTCAGTTCTTCAGTCTTTTCCTTTATGGTGCTGGTTTTCTTGGAGCTGTACCACAGATTGAAATAAAACCTTCATTTTGATATTTTAGAAAATATAATTTTGTAGGATTAAGGCTTTAGACTAATTAGTGGTGACTGTATACTAAATTGTCTTGAGTAAGAGTGTCAATTTGGAACTTGAATTTTGGGTAGTGCTTTTATATATGAATGTCTCATAATTTTTCCCAGTGGTATTTTTTTCCCTAATTGGATTAAGCAGTTTCTGCTTTTACATTAAGCTTCAAGTGGTTTTCAATAAATTATTTCAAATCCACAGTTGTTCTTTGAAAATTTTCCTCAAGTTACTGTGATTCTCAGGAGATACCCAGAAACACTCCCTAATTAGCATTATTTAATCATACCTTGTATAAGTCAGCCAAACAAGCCTGACAAATAAATTAAATTACTTGTGGGATAGTCAAAAGTTTTTGGCCCCAGCATTTAATCTTAGAAAACCCAAGACTAAAAAGACTTGGCATACTTCTTTAGGTTATAGTTTATGCGTTTTTGATCTTAAGTAGTGTTCTTGCTGTGTTAGCCACTGTTACTCCTATCAAGTGGAAGTAAGGGTAAGGGTTAATATTAGACCCACCTCAAAGGGCGATTTATCTGGTGACTTGTAGAGTAGTGGTTAGTTTTTAGGGGCATGAGGGGAATAGCAGCGTTAGTGCCTGCTGCGTTTGAGGGGCTCCTTGCCTCTGCCCCTGATACTCTGCACACCCCTAGACCCTGAGTGTATAGCTTCCCAGTGTTCTTACTGATGAGCTGAGACATTTTCTGGTTAACTGGTTGGAGGTGGTGTGATTTAACAATATAAATGGTTTATTTTTGGGGAGGGATAAAATGCCCAAGGAACATGTGGTGCGTATTTTGTTGGTTATACAGTTCTGATTCCAGCTCTGCCATCTAGTATCTGGGTGTGATCCAGTGGCATGTTGCTTAGCTCTTTCTTATCTTTCAAGTGGGAATACTGATACATTCTTTGGAGAGTCATTACGAGAAATTACACAGAATATGTGATATGCCCAGCACTATACTGCCACAAAAGTTATCCCCTTCCCTTTCCTTATTAATTTAGGAAAAGTAAAATATTTTAGTAGGTCTTTGTGCCATCTGAGATTTACCTGGTAACCCATCTCTTCCCCATTTTGGATTTTGGCATCTCATGGCACACACTCCCCCACCCCGCCCCAAACTATGGGCCTTACCATTGTTGATTGGTATCTTTTCCTTTTGGACAGGAGTACTTCCTGTATCCTTGCCCATCTGGCTAATTTGTCATACACAATATTTTTTTCCTCCTGTCTTAACTGCAGATAACCCAAATGAAAACTAGTTGATGCCATTTAGTCATATACCAACATTTTCATGACTTTTGAACTGGCAAGTATAATTCTTTTCTGCTTTTTATCCTGAATTAGTTTAGGAATGTTCATTTTTTAGCAGTTTAACTTGTCATCTGATCATGTCTAGGCTTAAACATGTATCATAGCTTATTGTATATAGGAAGTCCTGTAGTATTTATGTAAGGAATTCTAACCAGTTCCTCTAAGATTTTGTTCATTTTAAATCCAGCTTTTCCAAATGATATAGCAGTAGGTAATACTTAGATTTTAAAAAAAAAATTATTTATTTATTTGATAGAGAGAGATCACAAATAGGCAGAGAGGCAGGCAGAGAGAGAGGAGGAAGCAGGCTCTCTGCTGAGCAGAGAGCCCGATGTGGGGCTCGATCGCAGGACCCTGAGATCACGACCTGGGCCGAAGGCAGAGGCTTAACCCACTGAGCCACCCAGGCGCCCCAATAATTAGATTTTGATAACACTGAAAGTTATTCTAAATTGCTCCTGTCTATATTTGAAATAAATTGCATAGAATATCTTACTTAAATGTGGTCTTAGCTTAAAGTATGCATCATCATATCAGTATATTGAAGTAGATAACACAGATCTCTTAGAAACATTTTAGAAAAGGGAGAAAATTGTGAAACAGCTCAAGGATCTAGATGGCTGAGTTCACCCTGAAAGACTGAACATCTTTTGGGCTCTTGGATTCTGATTCAATGAAGAGTTCTCTACTCTAGTTCTTTTCTTTTTCTCTTTTTAAAAAATAGTTGTTTTTTGAGAGCGAGAGAGCACGAGCTTGCAAGAAGGGGCAGGGAGTTCCCAACTGAGCAGGAGCCTGACCAGGGCTTGATCCCAGGACACTAGATCATGACCTGAGGCAAAGGCAGATGCTTAACTCACTGAGCCACCCAGGTGTTCCTCTAGTCTGTCTTTACACAGTGGTGTCTGGGGTTTGACAAAACTGATTGGATTGTACTCTGCCTGGAAGTGTAGTTGAGGTTTATCTCTAGTTTCATAATCACTTGGGGGATGTCTTTTCGTTAGTAGCTTCAAAATATATCTGTGCAAGTCATTGGATTTATGAGGTGACTTCAAGAGTGCAGATCACTTGGGGGACAGATATATATTGTGGTCTTAATTCTCTACTGTGTAGGTGATCTTTAATAGTAGGGAGTCAGACTTTAGAAGGGGCTTAATATTCGTAGACTGTTCTTAGAATTTTCAAAGACACTGTGAGACTCTTGTGCTATATTGTTTTCCCTTTGAATATGGATTTTACCAACTCCATATATCCTCTAAACTAGATGGGATGTAATTTAAGAAGTAAAAATGTAAGCACAGTTAGCAATTTATGTTTCTTCTAGAATATTTTGGGGAAAAATGATCTATTCATGGGCCTCGTATGTAATCTGTTCTCCCGTCCCACTCTAATTATTGACTACTGACTGAAAATGGTAGATTTAGGGTGTGTGCTAGGCATTTACCTTTCATACCTTAAAAAGAGTAATTTACTAAACTAGATAATATATCTTCACAGGTGATAAAGATTGAGTCCATCTCCACCAGTGAGAAGCAGGCAGCAGACCTGGCAAATAAAACAAATGCTATTTATAAATTTTATATTTATAATGAAGATTAATACCAAATAAACAGAAAACTTATATGTCATAGTCATTTGTGCTCAGGATTAATTGTATTAGTTATTATATACACAAACTTATTTTTTGGGCAGAAATAGAGTTTTCATTTTTCATGTTGAGCATTTTCTTTATCCTAATGAAATTTGGGAGATGCATTTGCTGTATTTTGATTTTTTTCATTGTTGTATGGTATTTTATCATTCACTCTTGGAAATCATGTGATCTTTCAGGTGTTGTGCAGTACCTATGGCCTGGTACCAAGGTTCTTATCTGAGTAATAACTAGACAAAAAATTGGCAAACCCATTCTTTAAAAAAAAAAAAAAAGAAAGAAACCTTATGGTTTTACATTAGAATTTTGTGTTCATACATTCCGTACATTTGTGGATAATTACTTTGTTACTAGAGATCAGTGGATTCTGTAAAAGAGTAAGTTTGGTAGTACATAGACTACACAGTCATGCGCATTATGGCTTCTTGTTATGCCAGATCATGAGAAAGAGTCACATCTGTATGTATGGACACATTTGACATATTTATATTTCTCTACATGCACATAAAAATTGACTTAACGCGAATGATTTGTATGCCTTTCTGGTTTAGACTGGTAATTGTGGTTATTGATTTCTTCCATACTGAGAGATTGTCATGGTTTTTCATTCTTTACTGATGTAATTCATGCCTTTAAAATTCATTTTAGTGACATCCTATATCAAGTGTAGAAGTGAAAAATTTAAAAAATTTGTATTATTATATAAATTAGAGTGAAGGGAATTCTAAAGTGTGACTTAATAAGTTGAATGTTCCATTTATTCAGTATTTATTCAAGACATTTATTGACCACTTAATAAATGCCGGACACCTTAAACTGCGCTGGAGGTTCAGCTTCATACTTAATAGCAAAGTAAGGTGAATTAATACTGAGACTGTAGAGCGGCGTCCGGGTGGCTCAGTGGGTTAAGCCTCTGCCTTTGGCTCAGGTCATGGTCTCTGGGTTCTGGGATCTAGCCCTGCATCGACTGGGCTTCTCTGCTCAGCAGGGAACCTGCTCCCCACCCCCACCTGCCTCTCTGCCTACTTGTGATCTCTCTGTGTCAAATAAGTAAGTAAAATATTAAAAAAGATAGGGAGACTATAGAATAAATCACGTCTTTCAAAGTAAAGAAATGCTATTTGTTCACTAAGTAGTTTGCCGTTCAATTTTGGGGATTCAGCTTATGTTTGATATCAAAGTAAGAAAATAATATCCAGGATGTGGAATAGATGATTTGGGGGGGCAGTAGATGATATTTTTAAAGTAAAGAAATGTTATTACTCACTGGATGGTTTGCTACTCAATTTAAAAATAACTTTGTGAATAAAACCTATAAAACCAATTGACATAGCTAAAATTATTTTTCTGTACTTAAGGACTGTTTTTAAATATGAAAATTGGAAATCAAAACTGAACATACTTTAAAACATTTTTATTTGGAAATTATTTTATTTATTTTTACTTATTTATTTATTTTTTTTGAGATCACAAGTAGGAAGAGAGGCAGGCAGAGAGATAGGAGGGGAAGCAGGCTCCCAGCTGAGCAGAAAGCCCGAAGCGGGACTCTGATCCCAGGACCCTGGGATCATAACCTGGGCCGAAGGCAGAGGCTTTAACCCACTGAGCCACCCAGGCACCCCTGGAAATAATTTTAAACTTAAAGTTGCGAGAAAAAGAATAGTACAAAGAACTTAAAAATTTTCTCCTATCAAAAGTCACCCAGTGTCAGTATTTTGAGGCCCTCCTTTCTCCTCTCTTCCTCTTCTTTGCTTTTCTTTCTGTTCCTTTTCTCACCCAGTCACTTAAAATATATATAAATCCCATCCCTCCACCAGTGGAGGGTCATCTGCCTATATAATGGCCCATTTACTGTAAATATTAAGAATAGGGATAGCCTCTTAAACATGTACAGAACTCAAGTAAATTTGACATGGATAAAATATTCTTACCGTACATATTCTAATTTTGCTAGTTGATCCATTAATGTCTTCTATAGCACTTCCCCTGTCTAGGACAGAATCTAGTATGGGAACAAATATCACATTTGTCATTTCTTTTTAGCTTTTTAAAATCTGGAATACTTAAAGATTTTGTTTTTTATGACATTGTCATTTTTGAAGAACAGTATTTCTGGCATTGTGGGGGTGTGGGTATACTTCAAAATCATAATATTGAGCCACTATTTTTTTTTTTTTTTGAGATTGATTTATTTTAGAGGGTGAGAGCGTGTGTGCGCACGTGCAGGCACGGGGTTGCGGGGGTTGGGGGGCAGAGAGTCTCAAACAGGTTCCCTGCTGGCTGTGGCACCCAACTGGGGATTTCCTTTCACAACCCTGGGATCATGACCTGAGCTGGTATCAGGAGTCTGCTGCTCAACCCACTAACCCACCCAGGCACCCCATATTGACCCACTATTAATCAAAGATATGTTAAGTTCTTTTCTCTTTTATTTTAACTTGTAAGGGGGGGGGAACCAACTCTTTGGAAACATGTTTTCAGCTTCTACATTTTAGTACCAAAAATTATAGGTAGAATAAGTTTTGTTGGTATTTAATTCATACCTACAGCATATGTAAAAGTGATGTCATAATCTAGAACTCTTGGCTAATGATCATGTGGTTTTGATTTTAAAAGCTACGTATTTTAAGTTTCATTGGCATCATGTGTGAAATTTTGGATTTTTATTTGTCTGCTTTCCTGGTATTATTGTGCCACCTAGTGGAAATTTATGTCCTTCACTGCATGTCTAAATTAATCTAGATGAACTGCAAGATACATTTTTAACATATTAAGAAAAAAGTAGTTTGGAAAGTTTGATCTTCTTGATGGACATGGAATTCTTTAGGACAATGATTGTCTTCCTAAACAAGAGTTTAGGACAAATAAAGTTCTTAGTGAAGTCTTAGTAGATGTCTTAAAATTATGAACTACGGAATGTTAAAACCTGTTTTTGTTTCAACAAGAAACACCCTACATTTATTTTCTTTATCATTGAAATCTTAACCAAAACATATTACATTTCCATCAGTTAATATTAAGATAATTGTTGCTACGTGGATCTTGTCAGAATCCCTTCTTCCCCTCCCCTGAATGTTTCATTGTACATTTTCTCTCCAGGCCTAACATAGTGGAGTTTATGTGTTATTTACACATTCCAGGTTTATTTTGAAGTCACAGAAAAACAACACAGTAGGTAATAAATACTAGTGAAATGGTTTACAGGAAAGCCATGTGCTACCTTGAAAATAGCCTGAAAAAAAGTTAGACTTTTATCATTTGAAGACTCTTTACCAAATGACAAGATAAGCTCTTATTTGTGCTTTTTTGGGTAAAAATAAAATGTAGAATTTTTTTTCAAGATTTTTATTTTTAAGTAATCTCCACACCCAGCATTAGAGCTCAAAACTCAAAACTCTTTGAGACCAAGAGCCACCTTCTCTACTAACTGAGCCAGCTGGGTGCCCTGGGATTCCATCACTTGGAGAGTTGGCAGTCTCATTTTCTTGTTATTAAATATGAAAAGATGCCTTCCTTATCCTTTGTAGTGTTTAACACATTTTTAGTAGGACTTGAGAAACATTTTAGTTTTGGAGTTGTACGTTCTGCATAATTAAACTGGAATACGAACTCGATGTTGTCTTTAGAATACAAATTTATAACAAAGAGTATTAAGAATTCTCTAACCATGGGGGTGCCTGGGTGCCTCAGTTGGTTAAGTGTTTGACTTTGGCTCAGGTCATGATCTCGGGGTCCTGAGATTGAGCCCTGCGTGCTCCCTGCTCAGTGAGGAGTTTGCTTGTCCCTCTCCCTCTCCCTCAGCTGCTCCTCTTGCTCCTGCTGTCTCTCTGTCTTTCTCTCAAATAAATAAATAAAATCTTAAAAAAAAAAAAAAAAAAAAGAATCCTCTAACCATGGAGAAGGGTATACTTTGGAATTTAAGATTAAGCCATTCAAGCATACAATAGCTTTGTAAAGTCATGGATATTGTATAATATTTTCATCTTCTCATTATTCTTTCTTAGTTTTTGATGTGTGGTCACGATGAGCGGATTGGGAGAAAGCTCTTTGGATCCACTGGCCCCTGATTCACGAAAACGCAAACTGCCATGTGATGCTCCAGGACAAGGGTAGGCGGAGTATTTCCTCACGCTTCACCAAAGGCCCCTCCCCTACCGTGACATTTTTGCTTAAAGATAGCATTTCAGCTTTCTGTTATTTATATTCTCTGGTTAAAATTTTCTTTTTTGGTCTTTGCTTAAATTGTATGATTTCGCTTTGTAGTAAGTAGTGCAGCATAGTGACCAGACGGACATCCTGATGATGCAACAGAAATTTTGTTGTTGATTCAGATAGGAGCAAGAATCTTATACTAACACTTTTGATACAGTGTGAAGCGTTTCTCAGCGGAGGAGGTAGGGAGGAGCTAGGAAAAATTGATATTATCCAAGTAAGACTCTTCAAATTCCTGTAAGAAAATGAAAGTTGGTATTTTGACATTTGTGGGGTTTCATCATTCTTTTCCTGAATGAAGTTTGAAGTGTAAAAAATGGAAATCAAATATTTCATTTTATGCAGTGATACGCTAGTCTTTTTAGTATTTGTCAAGGCCAATATGCCTTGAGTTTTACTGTGATTGTTGCCGAGCAAAAACTGATCTATAGACCATAAAACCTTGTCATTAATAAGTAGCTAACACTGCTTTCCTTATTCTTTGTTGTTTTACTGTCTCTGTGAGGTAAAGACTATGTATCCTCATATTCCCGATGAAGATACCAAGACCAAGTCTGCCCAAGGCCACCAGGCTAACAAAAAGGTGGACTTGAAATTTAGGTTTGCCTGAATTTCTACTCTATTCTGCTACTTCTCCAGACAAGGTTTTGATGGTTCTATTGGCTGAATTTAGTTGGTTTAGATGTGACAGTAGTGGTGCTGTGTGCTCGTTCTGCTCAGTGCTCTTGTGTGGTAGATGTATTCACGACCCCCTTCTCTCTCAGTCTTACCTGCAGTGGTGAAAAGTGGAGACGGGAGCAGGAGAGTAAATATATTGAAGAATTGGCTGAACTGATATCTGCTAATCTTAGCGATATTGACAATTTCAATGTCAAACCAGATAAATGTGCAATTTTAAAGGAAACAGTAAGACAGATACGTCAAATAAAAGAGCAAGGTAATACAAAGTAAGAAAAACACTCAAGTGTTTCCAGAAGGAAACTTGTCAACTGTGTTTACGTTTGTCTTTTGGCTTCCTTATTGCTCATGTATGGACTACTGCTAATTGAACCTAGCCTGTGGGACTGGACAAATGAGTTGACCACTGTACTCTTTGAGAAACAGTTCATAGAGAAGTAGATAGAGGCCTGTGTTCTCACCTAGTCACGTCTTAGCTTCCTTTCAGGAAGCCATGGATAGTACATGTGGTAGTGAAGGAAAATTGAGGGTATCTTCTGCCCTCCTGGGTAAATCCTAAGTTTTAACATTGAAAAATTATAGCATTGTTTTCTTATCATGAAATGTTATATATGTGCATATATATGCTCCGTGTGTGTCTTTGTTCTGGGCACTGTGTGAAGGTGAAATTGACCTATAGCTGATACGTATATGCTATTTGTAGTACTGCTTTGTATCTTTTCAGGAAAAGCTATTTCCAGTGATGATGATGTTCAGAAAGCTGATGTATCCTCTACAGGACAGGGAGTTATTGATAAAGACTCCTTAGGGCCACTTTTACTTCAGGCAAGTATATGACACTTTTTTGAGGAATTTTTAAGACTTAAAAATACACTTTTGTAATGCGTTTAAAAATTATTTTGTAAGTAGTTTCCTTAAATAGTGTTGATTCACCTGTAGCACCTACAGCATGTTTCTCTTACTTCAAAGCAGGAGTTGGGAGCAGGGAGGCTCTTGATAAAGTGCACCTATTAATTTTTCTTTGTTGTTTCAACTAGTTTACTCCAGCTACTCTTTAGTTGATCAACTTAGTTCTTCTTTGTAAATTTTCATTAGGGAGTAGTATAGTGCCTAAAGCTTGACCTGGTGTCAAGTGGAAAAACAGTCTGTGCTAAGGATGATTTTCTTACTTTTTGAAGCTCCTTTCAAGATAAAATTCTTCAAAAATTAGAGTATAATTAGAATATAATGAAATTATAATTAGATTATAATTCTTCAAAAATTCAGATTTTATGTTGACTGTAGTTCTTTTTCCCCCAATTCTTTTTATTTTTTATAAAGCCCTATAGTATTTGTGTTGATGTTAACAGGAATGGTAAATGGTCGCTGATAATTGTGGTGGTTGGTAGATCAACAGTAGTTTTAAAATTTCTGTTTAGTGCTTTAAGTCTGGTGTCTTAATTGGCTAAGGCTGCCATAACAAAATATCACAGATTGGGTGGCCATTTCTTTCTTTTTTAAGAGCGAGAGAGTGGGGGAGAGGCAGAGGGTGAGGAAGAGAGAGACAGTCTGAAGCAGGTATGGATCCTGATGCGGGGCTGGATCTTACGACCTTGAGATCATGACCTGAGCTGAAATCAAGAGTTGGACATTTAACTGACTGAGCCACCAAGACACTCCCAGGAATTTATTTCTTAAAGTTCTGGAGGGTGGAAGTCTCCAGTGTCAAGTGTTGGCAGGCTTGGTTTCCCTCCTGAGACCTCTTTCCTTGGCGTGTAGGTGGTTGCCTTTTCCATATGTCTTCATATGATCTCTCTGTGTATGTGCATCCCTGGCGTCTCTTTTGTTACATATGAACATCAGTCCTATCGGATTAGAGCCCTATTTGTATGAAGGTTAGGGCTTCAGCATGTGAATTTTGGTGGGGATACAGTTCAGTCCCTAATAGCTAATATTAACATATCCCACTTTAGGCATTGGATGGTTTCCTGTTTGTGGTGAATCGTGATGGAAACATTGTATTTGTGTCAGAGAATGTCACACAGTATCTGCAGTATAAGCAAGAAGACCTGGTTAATACAAGTGTCTACAATATCTTGCATGAAGAAGACAGAAAGGATTTCCTTAAAAACTTACCTAAATCTACAGGTAACCTTTTAATGTGTATTTTCTAAATAAGCTAAAAAATTATTTTCTTGACAGTTTCTTAGAAAATTGAACCCACATTTTGGGAGGCAGAGTGATCATACTTGTGCAGAAGGGCAGGTCATTAACAACAAAACTTTCAAATATGACTTGGTGAATTTGGAATTTGGTACACATTTCATTGGGCCAGATATACAGCAAATTACAAAATGGTGAGATTTCTGTTGAAATGGAGGTTATTCCAGTATTATATATATATTGCCATTGCAAAATGTCTGTGTAGAAATTACTGTAGAAAACATAGTGATGAGAAAGTACAGCTTAAATTTTTGATGATAGTCATAGACTGAATTGCCAGCTTTTTAAAAACTTTTCCTTTTGTTTTCCATAGTTAATGGAGTTGCCTGGACAAACGAGACCCAGAGACAAAAAAGCCATACGTTTAATTGCCGTATGTTGATGAAAACACCTCATGATATTCTGGAAGACATAAACACTGGTCCTGAAATGCGCCAGAGATATGAAACAATGCAGTGCTTTGCCCTGTCTCAGCCGCGAGCCATGATGGAGGAAGGGGAAGGTAAGATTCACCACATGTTTGAGATTCTGTCAAACAGCGGCCACATTTCTAGTTCTGTGCTTTCTATTGTCGTATTCATTTACTGAATTCCACATCCTTACTTGCCTATTGAATACACTTGTCCTAAAGTTAAATATAATCCTTACCTGGTTAAATTTTTATTGTAGATTTGCAATCCTGTATGATCTGTGTAGCACGCCGCATTACTACAGGAGAAAGAGCGTTTCCCTCAAACCCTGAGAGCTTTATTACTAGACATGATCTTTCAGGTAAACACTTGGTATATGTGTGTGTATACATTTTGTTCATTGGTGAGTTTTTATAAAAGTTTACTATTTCTACATCCTGCACTACCATGTAAGTTCCTCTGTCCCTTACATGATGCTTTGCATGGATTACTCCTTATGTTTCTTATGCAGCTCTGAGATTCACTGAGGCCCCTGGCATTTGTGGTGGGTATATTTGAGACGTAAAATCCCTCAAATAGGGGAGCCTGGGTGGCTCAGTGGGTTAAGCCGCTGCCTTCAGCTCAGGTCATGATCTCGGAGTCCTGGGATCGAGCCCTGCATCGGGCTCTCTGCTCAGCGGGGAGCCTGCTTCCTCCTCTCTCTCTGCCTGCCTCTCTGCCTGCTTGTGATCTCTCTGTCAAATAAATAAATAAATAAAATCTTAAAAAAAAAAATCCCTAAAATAAATAAAAAATAAATGTAGAGGCACCTAGCTCTCTCTCCAAATAACATTTCAAGTCAGAAGTTAATATTTCTTTCTTTAACTTGAAACCCATTTTTCATAAATAAGTTTTCAAAAATATAGGTAATTTAATGAGAATTTCTGGGAGTAATTCTTAATATCCGCATGAGCTTCAATTAAAAAAATTTTTTTAAAAAAATTATTTATTTATTTGGGAGAGAGAGTTCAGGTGGGGGAGCAGCGGAGGGAGAGGGAGAAGCAGGCTCCCCACTGAACAGGGAGCCCAACGTGGGGCTTGATCCAGGAGCCCGGGATCATGACTTGAGCTGAAGATAGAGGCTTAACTGACTAAGCCACTGAGATGCCCCAATCTTCAATCTTGGTCTGCCCTTTTTTGGCTATGGGAATAAGGAATTAAAGCCAATGTAAGTGATAAGGCACAATATAAAGTTAAATGCGGTGGCAGTATTATTCTCTGTGTTTACCTTCAGGGTAACTCTTGTGATCATCTAACCCTGAATGGTGAAGCCATGGTGTGTCTTCTAAGTGCCATTTCAGAGATGGGGAACTAGGTCTGGTGACAGATATGTTGGGTTACTTGTCCAAGATCCTGGCTAATAAAGAATTTGCAGCTGGGTCTCCCTGATGTTGAAGTCTATGCTGTTTGTTTTTGTCCACCATGTGGACCTGCAATAAGTAATTTGATAAAATGGGGTAGGTTTAAAATAAATATCTAACATATCTCTAGCTATATTTGAGTGGATATGTGCGCATATATATATATATATATATATATATGTTATGTACACATACATACATAACAATATTTTACTGTTAAAAAGCTATTTTTATAGTTACCATTTTATGCCAGGGTCAATTACCCATCTTAAGGCTGCATGAGATTAATTTTCACAGATGAAACAATAGCAAAAACGGTCTTTGTATTCTTAATTTAATCTGTTAAATATTTAAATAAAAAGTTAAACTGATAAATATTTCATATTGGAAAAATTTTTTTATTTACTTGAGATATGCAAACCTGTTAACAGGAATTTTTGCCTTCTGGAGTGGTTCTTTTTTTGTATATGTTATGACTTGGCAGACAGGAGTTTTCTCCCCAAATAGCAATATTCCACATTTTGTAATAGAAAATACTAAATAGAAAAAAAAGAAGAGAATACTAAATAGAACATCTTTACTCAAGTAGTTTAGTGACTAGAACCTTTAAAATTTAATCTTATTAATGTTTTCTTTTATTATAAAAGCAGTATATATATATATATATATATATATATATACATTATAAAAGTTAGAAATTACCAAGCAGGAAAAATCAAATACTTTCATCTGGATCCCATCTGAGAGCCATCTTACCGTAGCTGGTATTTCTCACTTGTTACCTGTTCTTTCGTAGGAGGTTTGTTGCACTCAGCACAGGACTTTTTTTGGAGAGGTTTTATTCTCTGTCCCTCATGTAAATTTTTTCTGAGCTCGTCATCTGGCTCTTGGAGCTAAGCTCAGGGGAGGTGGTTGAGGACAGAACATCCTTATTCTGGGCACAGCGCATAAACATTTACTCTTCCTGGAATGCATTTGCCCCTTCTTTGTAGGTCCCCCTGCTAAGGTGTTTTTCTCTTTTTGTTTTTTCAAATATATCATTAAAGGTCTGAATTTTAAACAGATTCTTAGACTGGGGGCTCTGTCTGTCAGCTCATCTACCATTAGTGGCCTTTGTCATCCCCAGTAGCATTTTTATTTTTCTTTCTATTATTTATTTATTTTTTAAAAATTTATTTATTTATTTCACACACACACACACACACACACACACACACACACAGAGAGAGAGAGAGAGAGAGAGAGAGAGAGAGATCACAAGTAGCCAGAGAGAGAGGGAAGCTGACTCCCTAGATCCCAGGACCCTGAGATTATGACCTGAGCCGAAAGCAGAGGCTTTAACCCACTGAGCCATCCAGGTGCCCCCTATTTTTATTTTTTTTTTTTAAAGATTTTATTTATTTATTTGACAAGGATCACAAGTAGGCAGAGAGGCAGGCAGAGAGAGAGGGGAAAGCAGGCTCCCCGTCCATCAGAGAGCCCGGCATGGAGCTCGATCCCAGGACCCTGAGATCATGACCTCAGCCAATTGGGCAGAGGCTTAACCCACTGAGTCACCCAGGCGCCCCCACAGTAGCATTTTTAGAACTCTCTTTTACCATGTGAAGCTTTATGAGTTTTCCTAACCCAAACCTGATTTTCTTCAATATTTTTACTTTTTTGACAAACACATCATGGAGAGGATAAATAGATCAGGAGATGTAACTAATGAATCATTGAACACTACATCAGAAACTAATGAACTAACTGAACATAATAAAAAATAGATTAGGAAAGATATAGAAAAGATTTTCCAGTCAGACTTTCCAATCGGACTTTCCAGTCAAATTATTGACTACTTCTTTTAAGTCATTTGTTTGCCTGGTGGGTCAGGAGTTCCATCACCTTCCTGATTTGGTGGACCCTGTTGGTGCTGAGCATAAGAGGTCGTGTGGATGTGGGTATCGCGGTTTTTTTTTTTTTTTTGTAAGTCCTATGCAGAACAGACAAAAACAACCAGTGAGTTTTGGCAGCAACATGAGCTTTCAATCATAGACTGACATTTTGTGACAAGGGAGCATATTTTGTTGTGGATAACTGTGTCCCGAATGTTGATCACAGTTTTTGCCCAGGACATCCTCAGTAATCATTTTGAATTTTTTTTTTTTTTTTGTAGGTTTTATTTATTTATCTGACAGACAGAGATCACAAGTAGTCAGAGAGGCAGGCAGAGAGAGAGGAAGGGAAGCAGGCTCCGCGCTGAGCAGAGAGCCCAATGCGGGGCTCGATCCCAGGACTCTGGGATCATGACCTGAGGTGAAGGCAGAGGATTTAACCCACTGAGCCACCCAGGCACCCCTATTTTGAATTTTTAAAATGTTACTTCAGCATTTTGCAAATCAGCAAGGCTTGCTTCAAAAGCACAACTCTTGAGGCCATCAGAGTCATTTTAGTCCTTTTGACAAAGTTCTTATGACTGTTTTCTGAATATTCCTTATATGGAACATAGCTAGTGCTTTCTCCTCATACCACTCTTTTCTTTGACAGTGGGTCAACTACTTTCTTCTTGGCTCCTTTTTAAAAAAAATATTTTAAAGTTTATTACTATTAATATTTTGTTTTATTGAGAGAGAGAGAATCTTAAGCAGGCTCCACACCCAGCATAGAGCCTAGCGCTAGGCTTGATCTCATGACCCTGAGATCATGACCTGAACCAAAATCAAGTTGGACATTTAACAGAGCCACCCGGGGGCCCCTCTTCTTTGTTCCTTTTTGACACTTTTTGTAAGGTGTTTATTCTTGCCAACTTGCCCTGGTACTGCTCAGAAAGTGTGGCAAGGCCTAGCTGTCCATTTTTTTTTAAGGACCATCTTCATGAAACCTGTAATCTCATAACATGTTTGAATTGTATAAATTTTGTCTCTAGTGTATTTGGTATTAAGTGAAAGTCAGACACTTCCAGAATTATAGAAATGAGTATTTGGTTAACCTTCCTGGTTTAGATTTTAAGTGTCCAAAAATGCAGTCACCTCTCGGATGGAAAGAATTGTTCCTGCTAGCTGTGTAGGCAGGTATTTTCATAGTTGCAGAGACAGAATATCTTCAGATGAAAAATTTCAGTGGTAGGTGGTGGACTTTTCCTTGAAGTAAAAATGAACTCAAGGTTATCTGGATACGTCATACTCTGTACATGCAGAAAGTGAAAGGAGTTTTGTGATACTCTCTTATGTTTTGTACAGCAGAACATTTGATGTAAGAGTGTCCTGTAGGACCATGTCCTTGAAGAGTTCTGGATATAGCAGAGAAGGTGGAGCAAAGATTTAGTGTCTTTATTTTATTCTTCAGTGCAAACCCGTGCAGTATGTAACCAGTAAATACTCGTGGGTTGGATTTAAATCTTGATTTTCTGTTTAATAGGAAAAGTTGTCAACATAGATACAAATTCACTGAGATCCTCCATGAGACCCGGCTTTGAAGATATAATCCGAAGGTGTATCCAGAGATTTTTTAGTCTTAATGATGGTCAGTCGTGGTCTCAGAAACGTCACTATCAAGAAGGTAAAGAATTTTGAGTTTGATTCTTGGTCTTTGTTGTTGTGTTTGTATACCATAAAGCATTAAGTGTATTCATGGTTGTTTTTGCGTGTGGGGTAGGAAAGTGATTCTTGAGCATTTTTTTTTTACCCTGCTTGTAATTTTGGTGCAGGTCCAGTATTTTCACTGGATTGAGAAAATGTGACACTTGAAGTACATTTCCTTTTTCTCCTCTCTTACACGTATCTGTTTTTCCAGTTGTAGTCACTAGTGATGGTGTATTTTTCCCAACAGCTTATATCCATGGCCATGCAGAAACCCCGGTGTATCGATTCTCATTGGCCGATGGAACCATAGTGTCAGCACAAACCAAAAGCAAACTCTTCCGAAATCCTGTCACAAATGATCGGCATGGCTTTGTTTCAACTCACTTTCTTCAGAGGTAATGATCGTTTACTGTGTGTCCTCACATTAAACGCAGCAGTGTTCTCAAGATGCTTTATTATCAATCTACAAAGATTTAACGGGAAAAAGCAGAGACATTGGGTTTGCTGAAGTGAGTTTAGATTCCTGGATAGTGAAATGATCTATTATCTTGTGATGATTGGGAGAGTATGTATATGTGTGTGTATACACACACACACACACACACACACACACACATTTATTTTACTATTTTGATATACGTGCTGCCAAAGTGAGCACATATTTTAAGGTTATATTATTATGTGAAAATGAGGATTTGTTCATTAAATACTTCCTGTGAAAGCTGGGGAATGGGAAGGCTTGTGAATAAAAGAACATAAAAAATCTGACTACCTCTGTTACGTTTTATTTCTGATGATATGTTTATGTTGCTTCTAACGATTGAATTTGAAATTTGAAAGACTTTAAGAAAAAAAGATATGTTGCTGTTGCTAATGGTAAATGAGCAGCACATGCAAGAGCAGACTATTCCTGCATTAAATATCTTGAGTAATTTGCAGTCCCCTCCAGGTTAGCCCCTACAGGTGTGGCAACTGTAGTAAACCCTGCTGTGATCCCAGCTACCATAGTTGTTGGCCCTTGTGCTCGTGGTCACTCATTTAGATTCTGTGGCATATTAAAAAATATATTACTGGGTTCATAACTGATTAATACTTAGATTGGGACTGACACTAAGTATTGGAATGGAGCCTAGAAGTTAAGCTCCTGGGCACTTATTTCATCATTTTTAAAAAAAAAAGCGCTTTAATGCATATCTGTAATATTTTAGTGAAAGTTTGTCTTCTTTCTTTGTAGGGAACAGAATGGGTATAGACAAAACACGAATCCTGTCGGACCAGGGATTAGACCTCCAGCAGCTGGATGCAATAGTTCAGTAGGCGGCATGAGCATGTCGCCAAACCAAGGTTTACAGATGCTGAGCAACAGGACCTATGGCTTGGCTGACCCCAGCACCATAGGGCCAATGAGTGGGGCTAGGTATGGGCCCTCCAATCCCATAGCTTCAATGAACCCTGGGGCAGGCATGCAGTCACCATCTTCCTACCAGAACAGCAACTATGGTCTCAACATGAGTAGCCCCCCACATGGGAGCCCTGGCCTTGGTTCCAACCAGCAGAACATCATGATATCTCCTCGTAACCGTGGGAGTCCCAAGATGGCCTCACACCAGTTTTCTCCTGTTGCAGGTACTGTTGTTGGCATTTCCTTTTATTTTTTTCTTCCTCAGTAGTTCTTCTCTTCTTCTGTTGTAATCCTTGTAAAGTTAGTTCATTTTAAGGTTAACCTTTAGAGAGTTCAGTGGCATTTTGTTACAGCATCCAGTAGTCGAATTGTTTCCTTTATTTCTCTCCCAATCCAGGTGTGCACTCTCCCATGGGATCTTCTGGTAATACTGGGAGCCACAGCTTTTCTAGCAGCTCTCTGAGTGCTCTGCAAGCTATCAGTGAGGGAGTGGGGACTTCTCTTTTATCCACTCTGTCTTCACCAGGCCCCAAATTGGATCACTCTCCCAATATGAATATGAGCCAGCCAAATAAAGTGAACAGTCAGGATTCTAAGAGTCCCCTGGGCTTGTATTGTGACCAGAATCCAGTGGAGAGTTCTATGTGTCAGTCAAATAGCAGGGATCACCTCAGTGACAAAGACGGTAAGGAGAGCACTGTCGAAGGGTCAGAGAATCAGAGGGGTCCTTTGGAAAGCAAAGGTCATAAAAAATTACTGCAATTACTTACCTGTTCTTCTGATGACCGGGGCCATTCCTCCTTGACCAACTCCCCCTTGGATTCAAGTTGTAAAGACTCTTCCATTAATGTCACCAGCCCCTCTGGGGTCTCTTCCTCAACCTCTGGAGGAGTGTCCTCCACATCGAATATGCACGGGTCCCTGCTGCAGGAGAAGCACCGGATTCTGCACAAGTTGCTACAGGATGGGAATTCACCCGCGGATGTGGCCAAGATCACCGCAGAGGCCACTGGGAAGGACACCAGTAGTACGGCGTCCTGTGTAGAAGGGAGTGTCAAGCAGGAGCAGCTGAGTCCTAAGAAGAAGGAAAATAACGCACTTCTTAGATACCTGCTGGACAGGGATGATCCTAGTGACACACTCTCCAAAGAACTGCAGCCCAAAGTGGAAGGAGTGGACGGTAAACTGAGTCAGTGCGGCGGCTCCGCCATCCCGAGCTCGAGTCAAGAGAAGGACTCGAAAATTAAGACAGAAACAAATGAAGAGGTAACTTACTCTTTCTCTCTTCCAGCTCAGTCATTGTGTTTCCTCGTTGCATTTCTGTGTTGGAAAGACCATGTGTTACATGCAGAATCTTATCTTCTGTTTTAGGTTTATGTAATGGGATTTACTCTTTGAGTTGTCATTTCTTTATAATATTTTGGGAATCTGTAAGATGTGTTATGATGGAGTTTGGAAATACGAGATGTGTGTGTTTTAAAATGTGACTCTGACTAGAACCAGTTGGTAGCCAATTTGAAAATTTTCATGGAGGTTTTTATTGTTGGAATGAGCATATTGGGTCTTTTAAAGGGGTAGTAGAAAGAAACAGGGAAAAAAAATGTATTAAGTAAGAATTTGATTTGTGCCTACAGTCAAGTTTCCTTCTGTATGTGATCTCATTCTGTATAAGGGTTTCCCCAAACTCTGCTTGAGGAACACTCTTCCAGGAGACTTCATTATACGTCTGAGAAAATTAGTCTTGGGGAGGTCTTACTGTTAGGATTATCTGTTTGATTTTATTTAACCTAGTGCTCTCCAAATTTGTGGACCAAGACTCCTTTTTGAACCATGCCTGCAAATCTCTTATTGAACGCCTGCTTGTTGCCTTTATTATTACTTACACTTGTTTTCCAAAGGTAGGGTGTAGAGGCAGACGACTTTGTCAGTTAATGATCCTGAGTAACATTAACTGGAAAGTATTTTACAGTTTGAGAATTAAAGTTCTAGTGCAGATTTAAAAAATGCCCCTACAAAAGCACTTCCAAACCCAGAGAATTTATTTCAGTATGCTGATCTATAAGTTTCAAGGAAGACAATTTGGGGTAAGGGTCTTAAGAAGCCAGACTTTAAGTTGGGTATTATTACTTTAGGTTAACTATTGTATTTTACTTATTCCCATTTAATTGGTGTTCTTCTGATGAATAGGTTTATACCTATGTATATCTAGTAATGCTAACTAAAAAGAAATAAAAATTAACACTGGTTAATTAATTTTCCCCCCCAGGGATCTGGAGACTTGGATAATCTAGATGCTATTCTTGGTGATCTGACTAGTTCTGACTTTTACAATAATTCCATATCCACAAATGGTAGTAATCTGGGAACCAAGCAACAGATGTTTCAAGGAACTAATTCTCTGGGTAAGAAAGAACTAGGTTTTATTCTTGCTGCCTTTTAAAAGTTCTGCACCACCCCAATGTTTATAGCAGCAAAGTCCAGAAGAGCCAAACTATGGAAAGAGCCTGGATGTCCATCAACATCCAGGAGAATAGATAAAGAAGATGTGGTATATATATCTACAGTGGAATATTATGCAGCTGTCAACCCCCCCACCCCCCAAAATCCTGCCATTTGCAAGGACGTGGACGGAACTAGAGGGTATTATGCTAAGAGAAATAAGTCAGTCTAAGAGGCACAGTTACCATATGATCTCACTGATTTGAGGAATTTGAGAAACAAGACAGAGAGGATCATAGGGGAAGGGAGGGGAAAAAAATGAAACAAGGTGAAACCAGAGAGGGAGACAAAGCTTAAGAGACTCTTAGTCTCAGGAAACAAACGGGGGGTTGCTGGAGTGGAGGGGATGGGAGGGACGGGGTGGCGGGGTGATGGACACTGGGGTGGGCATGTGCTATGGTGAGTGGTATGCATTGTGTAAGACTGATGAATCACAGACCTGAACCTCTGAGACAAATAATAACATTGTATGTTAATAAAAAAATAGTTTCTGTACCTTTGTACATGCAGTTACCCCTTGAACAACACTGGTTTGGATTGCATGTGTTCAGTTACACACACGGATCTTTTCAGTACATGCAGTATTGTACATGTATTTTCTCACAATCAAAGCCCAGTCAAAACGCAGTGCTTGAACTTGCAACCCTTGAGATCAAGACCTGAGCTGAGATCAAGAGTTAGACACTTAACCGGCTGGGTCACCTAGGCACCCCTCTCATGATTTTCTTGATTTCTCTAGTTTATTTTAAGAATATAGTATAAGGGGTGCCTGGGTGGCTCAGTCGGTTAAGGCGCTGCCTTGGGCTCAGGTCATGATCTCAGGGTCCTGGGATCAAGTTCCACATTGGGCTCCTTGCTCTGTGGGGAGCCTGCTTCTCTCTCCAGCTCTGCCTGCTTGTGCGCATGCGCTCGCGCTCTCTCTCTCTGACAAATAAAATCTTAAAGAAAAAGAATATAGCATGTTATATATGTAATATACAAAATATGTGTCAATTGACTTAGATAAGTATTTTGGTCAGAGTAGGGTATTAGTAGTTAGGTTTTTGGGGGCAGTAGTTATATGGATTTTTGGCTCTGTTGGGAGCTCAGTGCTCCTAACCCTGTGGTGTTCAAGGGTCAGCTGTACTCTTGTAATAAGATGGAAATCTAATTAACATTTTTAACTTCAAAATACATATCGTGCCTCTCAGTGTTTTGTTTTTTAATAAATAATTCATAGTGCGTATGTTCTAAAAAGTTCCCTGGACATTTTCCTATTCTTAAAATTTGCTATTTCTAACTAATACACTAGAAATCATGGAACATTCTAGGAAATGTTAGTCTTTGGTTGCTCCAGTTGAGTAGTAGCTACCAGAGCATATAGTTTTGTTTGGCACAGAGACTTGAATTAAAAAGCAGCTAAAACTTGTGATTGAAACCTTTCCTGTGACACTTGTGGAACTTTGTCATTTAGTTGTGAGACTTCTCTTCTTTTAGTGTTGGCTGATTGTCCTCCAGCCTCTCTTCCGCAGCTGTGTGGTTTCCTCACTTATCAGTTTAAGAAGGGTGTAGTACATGTATTGATTGAACAAGAAAAATTCACAGTTATCAGGAATGGTAGTTACTCATTTTCAGTGGCACTATTTCCTAAACTGAAGTGGGTAGTCCACAATCAGTCAGCTAGGTTGGAGAAAGAAAAATGTTAGGGGGAGATTTCACATGTTTGTTTGATTAGAAGGCAACTTGTCTAGTTACATTTAATTAAAAAATTTTAACAATTAAAAAAATTTTAAACAATTTAAACCAACTGACGTAAGTACATATAGGGAAGAACCTCTAGGAGTTAGAAGAACATTGATAACTTTTTCAATATTAAGTGAAGCAGAATACTAATGACCACGTCAGGCTATGGAACAGTGCCCAGTACATCAGCCAACACTAGGACTCTGTTTCTACTGTATCCCATATTGGAATATGAGGCTTTTTTTTTTCTTCCTTCTCCTTTTTTTTTTCCTTCTATACTTACTGTTTATTTTAGTAAGAAAGACGTTCTTATGTGGTTGGTATTGGTATTCATGTGTTGTGCTTGATAACTTATGTACTGAATCATCAGAGAATTTTTATGTATTGCGCATCTGTGTTTCAACAGGTTTGAGGAGTCCACAGTCTGTGCAGGCCATTCGTCCCCCATATAACCGAGCAGTGTCTCTAGATAGCCCTGTTTCTGTTGGATCAAGTCCTCCAGTAAAGAATATCGGTGCTTTCCCCATGTTACCAAAGCAGCCCATGTTGGGTGGGAATCCAAGAATGATGGATAGTCAGGAGAATTATGGCTCAACTATGGGTATGTCATTTCTAACCAGTACTTATGGATAAAATTTTCTTTTTAAATTTAAAACACTTAACGCCATTTAAGTAATTGGGGTTAAGTAATAGGTTTTTGAAGAACAGTAGCATATTTCTGTCGTGAGTTTCCTTAATTTATTCTACATCTTGGTTATTTTAAACTCTCAAGGAAGCTACTTGAATACGTGGCAGTAGTTGCCTATCAAAAATGTCTTGAAAAATGAATGTCTTAATAGTTGGCCAGCCCTATTCTTAGGATGACCGCACTTTTCTGGTCAAGGTTGTGTGTAATGACTGTACTTAGATAAGAAGGATTTTAGTATAATATGGGAAAGACATAATCATTTCTGCCTGTTGCAGGTGGACCAAACAGAAATGTGACTGTGAATCAGACTCCTTCCTCAGGAGACTGGGGCCTACCAAACTCAAAGGCCAGTAGAATGGAACATATGAGTGCAAACTCCATGGGAAGACCCGGAGCAGATTATAATGCTTCTTTACCCAGACCTGCAGTGGGCGCCTCGATGCCTACCTTGCCTCTGCGGGCCAATAGCATCCCAGGGGCAAGACCAGGGTTACAGCAGCAGCAGCAGCAGCAGCAACAGCAGATGCTTCAAATACGTAAGCATCCCCTTCATAAAAAAGAAAACCAGATGATTTGGGGTAATATTTGCTATTGCCTTCTTTGAAAATGTATTCCCTCTTTTTTTTCCATCAGGGCCTGGTGAGATTCCCATGGGAATGGGGGTCAGTCCATATGCCCAGGCAGCACCATCTAACCAACCGGGTTCCTGGCCAGATGGCATGTTGTCCATGGAACAGGGTCCTCATGGGACTCAAAATAGGTGGGGCTTTGTTATGTGACTCTTGAAAATGTTAGCATAGGATTATCTAGAAAAAGGTCAGAACACAGGAGCAAACCTAAAAGAGAATGAAGATAACTCACTGATTGAGGTACTTGCCTGCCATCTGGGCATTTCTTGTCTGACTGTAAAAATCGAGGTGAGGGGGCGCCTGGGTGGCTCAGTGGGTTAAAGCCTCTGCCTTCGGCTCCGGTCATGATGACAGGTCCTGGGATCGAGCCTCGCATCGGGCTCTCTGCTCAGCAGGAAGCCTGCTTCCCCCTCTCTCTCTTTGCCTGCCTCTGCCTACTTGTGATCTCTGTCTGTCAAATAAATAAACAAAATCTTTAAAAAAAAAAAAAAAATCAAGGTGAGGCAGCAAGCCAGTGACGGAGGACACCACTTTATTGTTTAGCTGTCAGGACCGGTGAGTGGTCAAACCGGTGAGGATAAATTACCACCAGTTTGAGAAGATAAATGGTATTCAGAGGGTGAGCCTCAGTTTTCTGGCAGATTAATTTTTAAGGATTTGATAATTCTTTTCTAAGATTATTTAAAACATTTCAGGGATGATGGTGAAAGCAAACTGTAGCACTCTTTTTGTGAAAGAAAGATGTGGATTATGTCTATTTCATTTTTATTTAGCTTGATCACTAACTCATTTGCATGAAAGAAGCCACCTGTCAATTTCAAGTCTAACTTGAATTCTATAATAGATTAAGCAAAGAAAAAATGAATTGATCTATTGAGTAGACAGTGGTATAGCTATGTGAGTTTATTAGCTTGAGTGCTTCTCTGTGGAGAACAGATAGTCTCATTATGGAATTTTTTCTGAGGGAGAATGAGTATCTAGTTCCATGTCCTTCTAATATGTTGGAGGACTGTGGGACCTTACTGTGGGTGTATGGCGTTTGTATTACACTTGACACATGAGCTCAGTGGGCCAAGGACAACAAAAAGTTATTTTGGCAGGTCCCAGTCTCAGTTTTCTGATAGTTCAACATTTCTGTGTGTGTGTGTGTGTGTGTGTGTGTAAGAGCCAACATTGACATTGATTGCAAATCTCTTTTAGGCCACTTCTTAGGAATTCCCTGGATGATCTCCTTGGGCCACCTTCTAATCTAGAAGGGCAGAGTGATGAAAGAGCATTGTTGGACCAGCTGCACACTCTCTTGAGCAACACAGATGCCACAGGCTTGGAAGAAATTGACAGAGCTCTGGGCATTCCTGAACTTGTAAATCAAGTAGGTGGCATTAACACGGAAATGGAATTGTGTATGTGCACACTTGAAAACGTACATGTGTGTGTGCATATCCATGAAGCCATGCACATGAATGCCTGTGTATCTTTCCTATTACTTGAGTTACATCACTGCATTCATAGAGCCCAATATTACATTTAGAAATCATACTGCCAGCAACCTACTGTTTTGTAAAGCTGTCCATTATTAGGCAGCTGTAGAAATGATCCAATAATACTTCTTTGTAGTTTTAAAAATGCTGCTTTTTACATATGTTAGTTGAATCCTCATTTCTATAATTAATTACTTTTACTGCCTGGCCAGGCACTGTGTACTCTGAGGATACAAGCTTTTTTTTGGTGTCAGACGAAATTGCTTTACAGTGGTGAATATGAACATCTCAACAATAGCATCTCTCATTCCCAGTTACCTGTGCAGCCTTATGAAAATCTGTCATTCACAGACCTGTGTTTTGAAACAGATAAATTTCGTAGTGGCTGTTCTCATTTGAAGAACAGTGTGTGGGGCAGTGTATAGATCTGCATACTCAGTGATAATTAGGCAAGATTTTCAGGGGCTTACACAAAGGATCATACTCCTCTGTGGCAAACACTGTCACAGAAGTTCGTAAAGGGTGGATGGGAAATGTAGAGCAGTGATGTTGTATGTCTCTAGTGCTACCATTTTCACGCCCATGGCGCTGGAGAACACGTCTCACCTGGCTGAGGGTGGATGTGAGGGCTACACAGAGACTAAGGAGCTTGAACTGCCCTTTACAATTATATTTAAGCTGGAAAGAGCTTTCTCTGTTCTAATGATAAAATAGTTAATGGTCATTATGTAAAATCTGACAGTGACAAAAAAAATTCATATTAAAAAGTTAAAAATCTTCTGTAATCTTGGCACAATGAATCATTAGTAACTTTTGAGTGTATATTTAAAAAAAGGGGGGGCAGACTTTAAAAACACTTTGGTAACCTGTTTTACTTAGGGAAGTCATCCTCAGTCATCTTTTTACAATTTTTATTTAAAAATTTTTTTTTTCATTTTTTAAAGTAATCTCTATGCTCAGCATTGGGCTCCAATTCACAAACCCAAGATCAAGAGCCACAGATTCTACCAACTGGGCCAGCCGGGTGCCCATCTGTCATCTTTTTTTTATTTACTATATATATCTTTAATTTTAATAGTCATATAGTATCTGTTATATTGAACACAGTTTAACCAGTGCTCTACCTTTTTTTTTTTTTTTAAAGATTTATTTATTTATTTATTTGACAGAGAGATTACAAGTAGGCAGAGGGGCAGGCAGAGTGGCAGGCAGAGAGAGGGGCGAAGCAGGCTCCCTGCTGAGCAGAGAGCCTGATGCGGGGCTCGATCCCAGGACCCTGAGATCATGACCTAAGCTGAAGGCAGAGGCTTAACCCACTGAGCCACCCAGGTGTCTCACCAGTGCTCTACTGATGAAAATTTAAGTTGGTTCTAAATAATTATTATAAACAATTCTATGAATTATTCCCATCTTGTTGCCTTAGTCTTTCTTACCTATAGTCCAAAAGAAAGGTTAATGGTTAGAGAGCGTGCATGTTTTAGAGGTTTTGCAGGTTGGAGTTCCTCACCCTCACAAACACCGTGCTGTGGCCCAGGTAGATGAAAGACACTGTGTGGATGAGCAAGTGATGAAACAAATATCGAGCATGATTATTCTTTTAAATCTTTTCCAATCTGATTGGCAACAAAGATACTTGTTTTATTTTTATTTTTTTAATGATTTATATGTAAGCAATCTCTTATACCCAGTGTGGGGCTCGAACTCACAACCCCAAGACGAAGAGTCATGTGCTCTTCTGATTGAGCCAGCCAGGTGTCCAGAGATGCTTGTGTGTGTGTATTTTTCTTTTCCCCCCAAGAGGGAGAGAGAAGAAGGGTGGGAGGAGCAAAGGAGAGGGAGAGAGAATATTAAGCAGGCTCCACGCCTACAGAGCCCAATGTGGGGCTTGATCTCACGACCCTGAGCTCATGACCTGAGCCGAAATCCAGAGTCAGAGGCTTAACTGACTGAGCCGCCCAGGTGCCCAGAGATGCCTGTTTTAAATTGTATTTTGTTGATTTGCAAGATTGACCATACTTTATGTGTTTTGGTCATTTATGTGTGTTTTTAAAATAGTCTTCTGGTGGGGTTTTTGTTTATTTGCAACAGCACTTTATGTAAGTTTATGTATTGACTTGTTGATTCTTTCATTTAACAAATACTTGTCTTCTGTATCCCAGTTAGTCTTTTTTTTAGAAGCTGAGGGGCAATAATGAACAAATTAGTTCGTTGTTGTTTGCAAGCTTACATTGCCCGGAGCAGACACACATCAGGCAAAGAGCCACCCGGCTGGAGGCAGACATGGTGTGGTGGAGATCAATAGGAAGGGCCCGTGTCATTAAAGGACCTTTTCTTGGGGCGGGGGGGTCGTCAGCATTTTTCTCTGATTCTCTAAATTATTTTCTCTAAAATAATTTCTTCTGTCCGAGCTGCGATTTGAAGGCTCTTTACTTGTCTAATATATTTGAATAGTTTTCCCAGTTTCTTTTTAGTGGGGGCTTGTTGTAGTCTTATTCTTTAGTTTAAAAATGTTTGTGTTTTCAAGTCTAGGATGATGAGACAAAGAATTACTGGTGACTGGGGTGAGTGGTCAGGAAGCTTTTTGGTGGGAGATGACATATAAGCTGACATTTGAAGGGTGAGATGGAGTCAGCATGGCAAACAGCTAGGGAAAGAATGTTCCAGAAGAGTTAGGCTAACTCAAAGGCCTCAGGTGGGAAGGGCGTTGGGGTTCTACCAAGTGACTGAAAATCTGTGAGAACCCCTGGGGCAAATAATACCTTCTATGTTAATTTTTCTGTGAGATGATGTTGGTGAAGTAAACGGAAGCTGGTTCCACAGACCATCCACGGAGGCTGGAGTTTTTCTGCTGTATTGGGAAGCCATGGAAGATTTTAAGCAGGGTAGTGATGAGACTTGCTTTCCTGTTTTGTTATAGTTAATTTTTATTTTTAGCCAAGTAACCTGTGTTTGTAACTGTAAAATTATACAAAAATACACTTTTTGAAGAATCACACACATTTGCCCCACTCAGACAGTGAGACTTAACTGTTTTGGGAACATTTCTAAGGGCTGTGTGTATGTGGCTGTTCTTCATCAGCTTCCGTCTGCGTCTGTTGGTTTCCTGCTGCAGTAGCTGACCGTGCATTCGTAGTCCCTTGTCTGAGAACCTTGGGGTCAGGTACACTCTGCAGTTTAGGAATTTTTGGATTTAGGAGGGTGAAACGGTGCGTGTATGCCATTTATTCCCGTGATACCCCTGGTGGAGTTTTGAGCAATCCTGTCGCTTTACGCGGTAGCCTGTCCTCAAACATGCTAATACTCTGAGAGCCAAGTATATAAATAGTCACACTGAGTGGACGTGTAGAGATACTGCTGCATAAAAGCTCAGGTCAAGTTTTGCTATTAAATGCATTTAGGGCTGATGAAAAGTTGTGTTGCCTCTTTTAGAACTTTTTTGGATTTTTTTTTTTTTTTTTGAATTTCAGACTAAAAAAAAATTGTGGATCTGTATTTATCCCCCTTTCCTCCAGTATGTATACTCATAGCCATACTCACCACATACGCAAGAGCGTGTGCTCTCTTTACCCCAGTATAATTATGGCTTTTGTTGTTAAAATAGGTGGTCAGTGATGTCATTATTTTGGCTAATCGCTGAATCAGGCATAATTTGTGTAGGGTTTTTGTTTGATTTTGAGTTAACTGCCTTTTTTTTTTTTTTTAAAGATTTTATTTATTTATCTGACAGAGATCACAAGTAGGCAGAGAGGCAGGCAGGGAGAGAGGAGGAAGCAGGCTCCCCGCTGAGCACAGAGCCCGATTCGGGGCTTGATCCCAGGACCCTGGGATCATGACCTGAGCTGAAGGCAGAGGCCCAACCCACTGAGCCACCCAGGCGCACCATTAACTGCCTTTTTAAATTTCGTTTTTTACACATTTAATACTAATCCTCCCCTGATGCTCCATTGGAAATATAAAATTTCTCTTCAGTTTTTCTTCCCATGTGCAGACACATTAGGTAATTCCTCAGTTCCTACCTTCCCTCTGTGGTTCTCTGTTACTCTGCGTCATTCTGCCCTGAGAGGCAGGTCTAGACCCTCGTCTCTTTCGCATCTCCCAGCTCCCTGGTCCCAAGTGGCTTTCCGTCTTTCTTTATTCCTTTGTTTTGTTCAAACACAGTTTTTGTTAACTTCTCTGTCCTTACTGCCTGACATTAAGTGTATTGGGCCCTTGCATGTCTGAAAATATCTTTATTATATCTTTATTCCACCCCCTATGTGTCTGGCTTTGTATTAAATTTTGGGTTGAAAATAATTTCCTCTCAAAATTTTGGAAGAATTGTTCCACAGCTTTTTGGTGCTCGGTGTTGCCTTGTCCTCCTTCCTATTCCAGTCTGAGTCCTGCTCTTCCCAATGTGTGACCCATTGATCGTCTCTGGAATTATTTGGGAACTTTTTCCCTGTGAAGTTGCATAAAACCGCATCATGGTGTGGGTCTTGTCTCTCTCATTCTGCTGTATGTCAGATGCACAGAGACTCCTCTTGGTTTGGGGGCATTTTAGTGTATCCTGTCTCTTCTCTCTCTCTTTTTAAAAAAATTAACATAGAAGGTATTATTTGCCCCAGGGGTTCATCAGTCTTACACAATTCACAGCACTCATATAGCACACACCCTCCCCAGTGTTCATCTCCACACCCTCCCCCCTACCCCGACCTCCAGCAACCCTCAGTTTGTTTCCTTAGATGAAGAGTCTCTTATGGTTTGTCTTCCTCTCTGGTTTCATCTTGTTTTATTTTTCCCTCCCTTACCCTATGGTCCTCTGTCTTGTTTCTCAGATTCCTCATATCCGTAAGATCATATGATACTTGTCTTTCTCTGATTGCATTATTTTGCTTAGCATAATACCCTCTCTTTTTTTTTTTTTGAATTTTTTTCTAAAGATTTTATTTTTTAACAGAGAGAGAGAGCGTACAAGCAGGGGGAATAGCAGGCAGAGCAGGCAGAGGGAGAAACAGGCTTCTCGCTGAACGAGGAGCCCAATGTGGGACTCGATCCCAGGACCCTAGGATCATGACCTGAGCTGAAGGCAGCTGCTTAACTGACTGAGCCACCAAGGCATCCCTCTTCTCTTTTCTTTTTAATTAGTGAGTTTTAATTGCATTTATTGGTAATAGAACTGAATATTTTTTCTTTTTAAAAAAATTTTTTAGGGTTGAATATTTCTAAAGCTTATCAGACATGTCATTTGGTATCATTTCTCTAATCATTTTATCTCTTCTGTATTTTCTTATCTCTTTGGGGTGTCTATTGACATGTTGGATATTAAACTGAGTCTGTGTTTTTTAATATCTATTTCCTTATTTCTAAGTTACTTTTTATTTGTTTGTGTCCCTTTCATGTTGGAAGCTTTCACCATCACATATTTTGCCATCCTTGGCTATCCTTTTATGTTTAAGTGTGATGTATTAGAAAGAGTCAGTCTTCACTGAAAGTGTTTGGTGGGGGGCTGGCCTTTTTACTTCAGGACTCCCCAAATTGCAGCATGTAGAGCTGTTACCACCTCCTCTTCTACTAACTGTTTTCTTTGCCTGGGAACTTTTAATTGCCTGGTTGCATAATGGGAGTGGCACTGGGCAGGCAAGTTGATCCCATAGTGTTAAGATATAAAATTATAAAATACAAGAATTTTACTAGGAATTATAAATATGATGTCCTGTTTTCAGCTTCTCCCTGCTCTTATCCTCTGCTCTGCTTGGTGTCCCAGAATTGAGGTAGCTGAGGAAGTAGGTAGAAGGGATAGCTACATGGCTGTGTGGAATTGGGGAGCAAGTTAGGGACTGGGAAGTAGTTTCTCCCCTGCATTCTACTCTGATTCCTAACCAGCTGCATTTAAGCACTTTGCCAGACCCTCTACATCCCCAGTGGAATCTGTCATTGGGTCCGTGGGAAACACTTGATCAGGTCTTATGTGTGTTTTCCTCTACAGGCACATGGGTCTCAGCTTCTCTACGTTCTTGAGTTGGTTATTCCTCTCTTTTTCTGTCTTGCAAATGCTCGTTGAAATACCTTGTTGCGGGCACCTGGGTGGCTCAGTTGGTTAAGGGACTGCCTTTGGCTCAGGTCATGATCCTAGGGTCCTGGGATTGAGCTCTGCATTGGGCTCCCTGCTCAGTGGGGAACCTGCTTCTCCCTCCTGCATTCCCCTTGCTTATACTTCCTGTCTGTCTGTCTTTCTGTCAAATAAATAATATCTTCTAAAGAAAATACCTTGTTGCCTTTCTTATTCTCATTGTTTTGTGGATAGATACTACCTTTTAAATTTTTGCTATTATTTTAGTAGAGTTAGCAAGAGAAAGGAGGTAAACATGTATGATTAATCCATGTTTAACTTACAGTATGATTTCTTTATAGAAAGAGATTTCAGATTCCTGTCTGGCGAAGGGAATTGGAATGATGGGACAGAACAGATGCATAGAACCAGTTATTATAAGAATCCAAGAAAGTGTCTTGGAGAGGGTCACAGCAGTGGAATGGAAGAAGGGAAGGCTGTGCGATATGTCATATGGAAGAAAAACTGATAGGACTCGGTGGACCACATGTGCATGTGTGCACACACACATGCACGCGTGCTTGGAAAGGGAGAACGTGAGGAATCCAGATTGCTGGCTTTAGCTCTGGGCACGTGGTGTTCCCATGTTGCCAGGAGGGAGGATTGGAGGAGAATCAGAGTGTTTTCGGGGAGGGGCTGTTGGAATCACGACTTGTGTCTTCTACACATGAAGTCTGAGAGGCCGGGGACGTCCAGGTGAAGTTGTTAAGCAGGCGTTGGCATATGCAGAGTCAGAATTCCAAGACACTTGAGCTGGAGACAAGTTCGGCCGTTGTTGCTAGTAGATGAGATGACCGGAGTAGAAAATGTAGTGAGAGATAAGAAGGCGGCCTAGAACTGAACCTTGGTAAACGCTTATCATGCCTCTGAGGGAGAGGTCAGAGAGGTGAGGAAATTGAGAGTGGGGTCACGGTCAGAGTGAGGTGAAGTGTGTACTGGGACGAGACTGTGGCCTGCATACTTGGCAGTCCATGCTCCCTGCCCGTGGATAGGAAGGTAAAGGTGAGCGGAGTAGCCGGCGGGCCTTTCTTGTCTCCGTGTGGCAGGCTCTTCCCTTCCTCAGAGTCTTTGTTCTTACTGTTGCTCTGTCACTTCTTGGACTTTATTGTGTACGTACCCTTCACATGTAGACAAGTGATGGCAGGCACACAGCAGGCACCTGATAAATACTTGTGATGAATGGGTTTCTTAACAGTCCCTCCGGCCATACAAATGGTAGTGGATGGCCACCTTCAGGTTTTGTTTGTGCAACTTAGTCGTACGCTTTGAGGGATATGAATTTATGTTGATTTCCTTAGTCCCTACCAAAATCACCTCTAGTCACCATCAGAATATTCCCGTACTAATTATAAGAGAATTAATTGATCACAATTTTAATTCTTTTTTTATACTTGTCTTTGAAGGTCTGTGTTGGTATAGAAATCTGGTCTGGAACAAATAGCATTTCTCCAGGTACCCTTGTCTGTGCGAGACTGTGCTAAGCACTAGGACACCTTTGTGGAAACGTTGGGTCGTGGTCTGTGCTCTCATGGAACTTCGGACAGTAAACTTGATTTTGCTTTTGGAGTTCTGCGGCATCCTTGTTTACATATATTGCCTTTATTTTTTACCTTTTTTGGAGCATTTGATTTCTGTTGCTTTCTACACATACTTTACTGTTCATTTATGTGTTTGATGTTGAAGGGACAAGCTTTGGAGTCCAAACAGGATGCTTTCCAGGGCCAGGAAGCGGCGGTAATGATGGATCAGAAGGCGGCATTATATGGGCAGACGTACCCGACCCAGGGGCCTCCAATGCAGGGAGGTTTTAATCTTCAGGGACAGTCACCATCTTTTAACTCCATGATGAATCCGATGAACCAGCAAGGCAGTTTTCCTCTCCAAGGAATGCACCCGAGGGCCAACATCATGAGGCCCCGGACCAGCACCCCCAAGCAGCTCCGAATGCAGCTTCAGCAGCGGCTGCAAGGCCAGCAGGTGAGCAGCCCGAGCT